AATGAAGAAACAGAGAGAAGAGAGCAGGGATACAGCAATGGTGGGTAAGCTGGGCTAGCCTGATTCTCCCAAGGGTGGCAAAGATTTTTCACAAGCCATCTGAATGAAGGTAACAGAGAAAAACAAGCCCATAAATAATTAAAAACATGGCCTGGGAGCAAAAGAAAAACAAAGAGTTGCCCCTACATTTGCGGTCCGTCCTTCACAAAGTGACAGCTACTTCCAGAAGATGAAGTGCAGAGGAGCCAAGGGGATGCAGAGAGCTCCTGACAGCTTCTCACTCTGGGGATGAACGGGGAGTCCAGGATCCACAGAGGACAGGCGAGCCACGAACCATGCCATGCCACACTGAGGCCGCAAAGTGCTCCATGTTAGAACTGAGCTGCTCCACTTGTCAGTTGTCTCTTGTAGGACTGAAATCTTGGCTCCAAGTTCTCTGTGAAATGGATGATGATGAACCTGAGCTGCTCAGGGTTGCCCCATAGGACCAAACACAAGTCTTTCCTGTGTTCAAACGCAGCAAACTAGGCCTTGAATTATTTCTACTACTTTTCATGTACGATATCTGTATCTCAATCAGAAATAAGCAAATACACATGCAGCAAAGGCACAAAAGTATAAACCCCGAAAAGTGATAGCAAATAGAAGTAGTATAGAACGTTGAGTTGAACACCTTAAATATACACAATTTTTAAAAGGAAAGAAAGTAGAAGCTAATTGTCATTAAAACCAGGCTTTGAAAATAGCTAGTTTTTATTTTGGAAACTGTTAATTAATTATCTATCAAAGACAGAATACTATAATGAAGCCTCATATGCAAATTATATCTTCAACAATGACAAACACACACACAACACATACACATTTTTGGGGGGTATTTTAAAACAAATCCTACAATTAATATTGTTTCACTCTAAGGGCTTCAGTATATAATTCTAAAACCTAGTCATTATACTCAAAATAGTATTATCTCAATGAAAATGCCTTTAATATTGATGTGATACTTCATGGTATGTAGATAGCACAGCATTTGCAGCAAGCTCACCATAGATACATATTCAGATGGCTTCCTTTGTTTTTCTACTACAGTAAATGCCCAGGAATATCTTTGAGAAGTATTATTGCCTAGCAATGTTAATGCTGAACATCCCCCAAAGTCCGTGTGTTAAACGCCAGTCCTCCAGGTTGGCACTACTGGGAGGCAGAGGGACTTTAGGAGGTGGAGCCATGTGGGAGGAAGTTAAGTCATTGGTGTACCCTTAAAGGAGACTGTGAGTCTCTGGCTCCTTCTTTTCCTCTGACATGCACCACCATCTTGGTGTACTGCCTTCCCACTGACCCAAAACAATGGGACCAGCCAACCACAGGCAGACAATCCAACACTGTGAACCAAAACAAACCTTTTCTTCTTATAATTGATTATCTAGGGTATTTTGTTATAATAACAGAAAGTTAACTGATGTAGACATATATTTCCATACATCGTTGTAAAATAATTGTTAACAATAGGATTTTTACTTCATAGAGTCTACACATTTTTTGGATTTCTTCCCCTAACAGTAGCATTAGTGACTCTCCTAGCCACAAAATCAGTGAGTACCACTTTTTCTAACCCCTTTCCACTTTTGGAAATTTATAGATTATTTAAATCTGATAGCAAATGCTGTACTAATTTTAGTTATTTTGAGAGTTTTGGTGTCCCCCTACTTTTTTCATCCCCTCTTGCCTTTCCAATATCTTTTGCCTGTTCAATATTTTTAAATTGATTTGTTGTTGTTTGCTTTTTTTTCTTCTTAGAAGTTCTTGTAGGGAATGGTGGTACAAGCCTGTAATCCCAGCACTTGGGAGGCTGAGGCAGGAGCATAACTGCAAATCTGAGGCCAGCCTGGGCTACAAAGTGAGTTCAAGGCCAGTCTGAACTGCATAGCAAAACCCCCTGTATTAAAAAAAAAGTTCTTCATATATAAGATACATTAAATATTTTTCCAAATACATCACAATGTTATACTGTATTCTTTTTTATTTATTCTAATATCATTTGTTGCACAGAAATGTTTAGTTTCTATAGTGAAATCTATTACTCTTTGCCTTATGGCCTTTAAGAATTGTTTCTTGAGAAAGTCTTCCTCATTGCAAGGCTAGGCAATATTATTCTGCTTTTTCTTCTAATATTTTTATGTTTGTTTTATATTGAACTGTTTAAGCCTTCTGAACTTTATTGTATGGAGCAAGGTAGGGGTGTCTATATTTTCTTCTAAGTGAATGATTGTTTACCTATCCATAATACATTTCTGCTTCCTCCTCACTAGTATACTTCCAGACTTGTTTAGGATGCAAACCTCTCTGCCATGTTCTTCAGAGCAAGCTGATCCCACTCTAGCTAGGGAATATGCTAAGCTACCTAAGCCCATTAACTCTTCCCAGACTTGGTTTCAAAGGTGAGTCTGTGTCCCAAATCTGGTGAGAGAGGATGTGACGACAGCTGTACTGGGGCCTTTGGGGAAGCTCTTCCTTGCTCTTCTGGGTAAACATGGAAAGTTTCATCCCTTCTTCCTCGGGTAGGGCCCCTGAGTGACTGGCAGGCCCAGGTGAGTTGCAGAATCCAACCAGCTGATGAAGAGGGGCGGGCACAGCAAAGACGGCTAGAGGAACGAGGGCCAGAGTGGCTGGACACAGAGGGTCCTACAGCTTCACATCTCCACAGCCCATCCTCCAGGAAAACTGTGTGGCCCTCCTTTCTGTTGTAAACATGTCTTGTTAAATTTATTCCCATTTGTATAGGTTTTATTGTTATAAAAGAATGGCTTCCCATTAGATTTCTAATGGGAAATAGAATTCATATGATTATTCATATTTTTGTAAACTACTTATTCTTATTTGTTTTGTGTACAGAGTTACCTTAATTCAATTTTTAAAATTTAGGCTGTTAGATTTTACAAACCTGCAATTTTATCATCTACAAGTAAAGATAATGTTTATTCTCCTAATCTAAACTTAGTATGAATTACTTACTTTTTCTTATTTTGTTCCATCTGTTAATTCCTCAAAGTACTGTTGTTACTACTGTTACCACTACTACTACTACTACTCATAATAATAATAATGACGATATTGCAAATAACAGTGGTGATTGGGGAAATGTTCTGATGATTTTAACATTAGCAGAAAGTATGAATTTAGGGAAAGCATTACAATTCTAAAAATAGGGGCTGGGGATTTAGCTCAGCGGCAAAGCGCCTGCCTGGCAAG